AATAATCGACTTATACAAAATAAAAAATAAATTGTTCACGTCCAACCAAAATTAGGCGTTCAGTTATTGAAGTCTAAATGTTTAAAACACAACTCAGTAAGAGTTAGTTACTGGAAGACAATGCATTATTAATAGAAACAACCCATTATCCACGAGATCATTAAAACACTTAAAACAGTTATTTTTCGATATTTTTGTAAAAGCATTCACTCATGAGTCGAATATATTTTTATACTACCCGTGACACTTTAAACTGGATCCCGATTAGAATATGAAACAAATACAGTAAGAGAAATATTCTGTCCAAAAAATTATTAGTTTCGAATCGTTTTCTGAAGCATCATATCACTCATATATAATTCTACTTTGATGATGAATTAGGAGACAGAACCTCATGAGACAACCTAAGTGAACAGTTGACTGCACATGCAATTTTCTTAACAGTGTAAAATAGAATAATTCCGATGAGTTTTTTAATGTACCACAATCAATAAGGTTCTATAAATTAATCTTACACACAAATCTATCAAACAAGAACCTCTATTTTGACTTTATGCATAAAAACAAAAGAACTCACTAGTTGTGGTTGTTCTTAATTGTTTAGTAGAATGAAAGTTGTATGAAAACAAATCATGAAAAGTAACCCTACTCTACATTAATGATAAATACGACATATCGAAAAGCCAAATTGCAAGTACTGGCAGTAGTTATAGCATTTTTGGTTAGAATAGGTCTGAAATACTCCTTACCTGCCAGCTAGAATCTGTGTGGCGATAATATGCAAAGTTATTCATTATCCAACCATATATATCTGATAATGTGACTTTTGGTTTACCAAGTTCGCGCATCGCCAAGCAAATAAGTGTGGCATAAGAAAAAGGCGGCTTGCCAGTCCATTTTGTTCGATATTCTAGTCGTACTTGAGGATCTAACAAGCTGCCCGTAATAGGTTGATTCCCGCTGCAGGAATATCTATTGTAATTATCTGTCAAACATAGAATTCGACTTTCATAAAAACATACCATAGAGAGATAAACACACATTTAATTCCTTTCCTTCAAAATGAGCAGTGGCTTCCGGATTCATTGAAACTGGGTTAGCATCCTAACAAAAAACTCAAATGAGAAAAAATTCTTACATATAACCAAGTTAAGCTGGTTAAAGAGTCATCCGTTTGGTCAGAATTCGACAGCTTTTGCATCCAATTTTTTCTCAGTTTTTCGGCTAATAACTTGAGGTTATTACCATACAAATCAAATGACTGAGGATGAATATTTAATGACATGAATAGTGGAAGTTTGAGAAATGACAAACGTGAAGAACGTATAACCGGGTCACAAAAACAGAATCTCCAAAAGATCTTCGACTAGTTTAAATATAAGAGTGATCACTGATTCCACTAGCTTGCTGGCTATAACGTTTACAAAGGTGGCGCGAAAGGTTGGAAAGCTTTCATATAAAGCGCTATTTCGAAGTTGCATCAACTATACTCCTAGTGTTTTGAAAAATTAAAACAAAACATGAAATGGTTACATATGAAAAAAGGTCTCTCGAAAATAACGAGAAAAATTATTATTTCGAAAATCCAGACATGCCAGTACTTTAGATGTCAATATATTCAGAAGAAAGTGTAGGGCGAAGTTTTTTATGACACTCAATTAATCCCTAATAGGATTATTCTCTAATATCGGCACAGATGGATGTCACAAACAGGTATTATATGTAGATGATACTATGCCATCATCAGCAGACAATAGGTTGTAAGAAAAATTAAAACCGTGGTGGAATAAAAGGAAAATTGCCACATTGATGGAAAGTAAAGGAAGGAAATTCATATTGCTTTATCATTATATGTCTTTTGCAAACAACTGCTGATTTTTTCAGGTTATCTGCACGACGGAACTGGAAAGAGAAGCAGTGAAAAAGGGCCTAACTTAAATGGGCTAGTAAAACGTGGTAAACTAAGTTCCTAAAAAGACAAATAAGCATTATTCGTCGGTATACTCCGGCCCAACTGGTATTGTCTCGTTTTTCTACAAAGAACATTTCTTAAGAAGAATGATTTAGGATGTAAATGTTATTTCGACTGTCGCGATTGTAATATTTCACACGTTTTCCAATTTTTGGTTTTTCTGTTATAATCTGTTAATCTTTGAATTCGAGTTAAATCCGACTGAAGTGCCAAAAATATTTTTCCGTTTCGTGATATTAACTTGTCCATTCTTTACATCAATTCGTGAAGAATAAGTTTATCCCACGATGAAGTTATGAGTTTAATGATTGAACTAGACCTCAAGTGATATACTTCACCAGGGTTATTATGAGTGTTTTGGTTTGCGTTTTGGACGGTAACTTCGAAAATGTTGCAGGGGTTGTCTGTATATCTATGTTCAAATTCTAAGAATAGAAAAACTTCGTACCCACCTTTCAACTCACACCCGAAACGGAAAACTGGACGAAGAATCGCACGGAAATATTGGGTTTTCAACACCCAACGCTAGCTTTATTCACATTCACAACACATTCTCTACACCACTTCCATGGATTCCATAGCACTAATAAAAACGAAGATGCATTCCTGAAAGTGTAGGGTTCTTTTACATCCCTTAGTTCCTCTGCTAATTGTTATTGTCAAAGTGTCAACTAAGCAATAGAATAATGTACACACCTGAAAACCAAATGACGGAAACTCATGCTCTTTGAGACTCTTATAAGTACATATGCAAGCATACTATACATACACCTTAATAGACATGAATCTAATTAATCCTTGACTCTTGGAGATTATACTTAGGCATAGATTCTCCGCTCCATGTTTTCTGCCAGAAGATACATTGAATCTGTAACGACCTGTTCTTACTCCCAGATCTTTTTAAGGAAAGCATGCTATTTTTGCTATTAACTCCCTATCTGCCCTTTGCGCATCAGATAGTACTGTTCGATCCTGTTGCTTTACCATTCCTGCCGTCCGTTTGCCTTACTAATTTTGTACGTTGTCGATCGCATATCATCTGTAGGGATGATGTATGTATGTTGGTTCGGTGTTCAATGGAACGTCTTAATAACACTTTGATGTGCTCTGTCCACTCGTTCCTCGGTGACTGAATTTCCCTCTCTAACGCCTTGGTTTACTATATTCCCGACCTAAATTCTCAATTTAGTACATATTTCTTACATATATTCTTCCCCTGCAGTTTGTTCGGTTGTATCTGCAATGTATCCGACAAGTTTCTGTTTAACAGTTTCAATGCTCTTCCAAACTTAATTTTGCCATAAAGTATTCAGCGTGTGCCTTAGCCGTTTATAGTTTTGCCCAGGTTGTTGTTGTCCGTCATCTTGTTTTCTTTTTTCTCAATTTCTCAGAAACTCAATGGAGACCCATTCTTTATGTTTTTGATTCCTTAGGCATGGTGGCCCTGACGTTTCGGATTTATCGCTTCGTTAATCGCCTTCCAGTTTTATCTAAGAGTATTTTCTTCCTCTCCTAGTAAATTCTGTTGGTTTTGGAGTTCACTTATGAGAGCTCTATTGAGCTTACTGAGCTTGTTAACATCAGATTATCAATGTAGGTGATCTCTGTGGATGATTGTAGCATACTGGAGTAGGACGGAAATGATGTAACCTTCTAGGTTATTTTGAAGCTGAACCTTTGGGTTATTACCCAAGGTGGATTATACTTTCGTATTGCCTACGTTCCGAGACTACCTTGAAGACTACGTAAGACAAACATTATATTTCTCAACAAATGCACTAGAAAGACAAAGAAATACGTAGTAAAACCACTACTGTATAGACTAGTTCATATCATTCAAGTGATCAACCCTTTTTATCGAAGATCTCCTATAGTATTCCCCATGATCAGTGTCCCATCGTTTAACTCAGAAATGAATATGTCTGATGAGTATTTTGGCTACGAATCAGTGACATTCTACTGGCCATACAGCACCTAGAAGGAAGGCTGTGTTCAAGTTTTTTAGTACTGCTTGCCCATCTGTCTATTGCCCATTTAGCTTCATTTTAATCCTGGATACTAGATAGCGATCTGGAGCTACATCATTTCCTCGCTTAGTGCTTACTTCTTTTATGGACTTTCTAGATATTTTGTCCACTTATGTGTGACTGGGTTGCTATTAGCTTCACTCATCCAAAGCAGTGACAGGTTGCGTTTTCTTACTCCGCTGTCTATTTGAAGGACCATTTTCGTCTGTCATATTGTTCGAATACTCCATGTTCGTGTATGAATGTTAATATTTACCGCCAGAAGTGATTTCATCCTCATGAGATTCGAAGTATCTTGCCTCTCACTATGCGGTGTGATGACAAATCTATATGAACTTGAACTTTTAGGGTACAGTTCAAATTCGAATTTGAAAATTGAACCCTAAAGCCTTCCACATTTGATTCACCTTCCTAATTAAGGTGGCGATGAACATGGATATTGGCACTTGTTTATAAAATTTAAGTTGGAGCAACTCTGCCTTAAACATTTTTTGAACATTATATTAATTGTTAGTATAAAACCATACAGAGCTCTATCCCTTTTAAGTACCTGAAGTTTGTGCTGATGATGTCGTTCAGATGAACGATGAAAGCTCTACGACCATTCAGCTCATTGAACAAAGCTCCATCAAAATCATAATTTTTAACTGAACTGACGTATTATCATAAAACAATGAAGTCTAAATTAGTGTTTTGTGATTTTTCTGCATCAAAAGACTACCTAAATATGAGGGTATTTATTATTCGTCCAACCCAACAGACATCCAACAAACACAATTGAGATGGCCGCTACATATTAGGCCATTCAAGGTCGTCGAAACGAGTGGACTTGACTATGGCCCTACCGGTCAGCATTGATGATTTAATCCTGCGCTAACATCCATGGCCTAAATAAGCTCATTGCTTCGTTCATAGTCTCGCCAAAAAAACCTTCAGGTCCTTCTTCATGTATCTCGAATTTGACAGTTAGATACAGTTTCAACAAAGTCTACACTCTTTGAATGTCTGTCAATCTATGGGATGATTCTGATTCAGAGGACAACCTGCCAGCTGAATGGGAACAAACTAGTCAGGATAATTTTATTACTTATTACAAGTAAGTTGAATTACTTGACGAATTCACCAGATATTTCGGAAAAAGACTTCCCAAAATGCGGTTGGTCTGTCGTGTCTTATAAAATGAAGTTCTGCAGAATTACACATGTGTTAATGAAGTACATTAGGAATTTCCTTTTCGTCCAAAAAGTCATGGTTTGAAATTTTACTGAACCTCAAGTGAATCGGGATGAAAATTTTTGAATATTGTAGAACATTTAAGCGAAAATTGATAATTCGATGATGAGACCATAATCATAGTCATCACCTAGTAGTAACTGAATTCCTAGTGTATGAGTCGAATATATGGCAATTAAGACGTTATATGTGATACACCCGGAGATATGTATTATTTCAACCTGTATGAGATAGTTAAATATACTTTGCTTAATATAGCTCCTGCACGAAATTCTCTAGTCAAATGTGTATTCCATATCCTGTTTAGAAAAATCTTCTAGTTTTACCCAGGAAGTATTTTTCTTTTGATTTAACTCACGTGTTTTGGCTTTAAACGTCATGTGAACAATAGCACGGTGGAAAGTCCCGATTCGTAAATATTTGCAATCCTATATTAAAAATTTAATTAATTTATTTATTTTAGCACATAGGTATTGGTACAAGGAGGCACCAAATACATATGCGCCACACGAATCTCAATCGATTTGTGTGAGGGCTGTGATACTGCTCGGGTGCCCAAACTGAAGCAGGTGGTTGTCTTAGGGGGCCACACCCTGAGCCTTCGACCTGAACGGCTGACCCAAAAGGCAGTGGAGCATCGTAAGGAGATACAGTCTCATGGTAGCCGGTGACCAACGATTGGTTCATACGCCATTTGTTCCCGTAGGATACTGGAACCCGTATGCACCATTGGTTTGGGATCCGGTTAAAGCGCCGGACATTCGCTTTTTGTCCTCTCATTTTCGTAGACAACACCTCCGCCACGAGAAGGCAGTGAGTAGGATTTCCCTGACAGAGGTTATATACGCGTGGCCATGTGAGAGCATTTCGAGAGGGAGAGCGGACTCTCCCTACTCTCGGCTGTACCAGGGCATAGAACTGGAAATTTCCATTTCGGAAAATTGGAAAATCTTTCTAAATCCCACTTCCATTCAACGGAAACTTGACGATAGTTATGATACCTCAATGTACTTGATACTCCTGGTTATCTACACCTCGTCAAACATAAGCAGACAAATAATAATAATGGGAGTAGTACAGTTAATTCGATAAATGATTGGGATGTAAGGGGTTATTCACTACTCCACTATAAGAGCTAAAATGTTTACCATCGGAGTTGATGAAATTCAACTTTGTTATGAAATCTAAATGTTGTTTCTCGTGTAGTTATTTATATAAAATTTCAGGGTCAGTGGACTATCACTGGACCGTAACCAAACTCAGTCAGTCAGTAACAACATGGAACTTCGTACGTACGTACATCAGTTCGAGTTGCCATACCACATTAGCACAGAGATTCAGTTATCGATTCAAATCCCATTGTGGTAGAGGTACTGAAAGTATAAGTAGTGATAGGGGACATTAAGGTTTGATGATGTTATTAAAGGAGTATAGTCCAGTGGAATAAATTGGGAAAGAAAATAAAGGACATGGAGAATTCAGAAGATTAGAGTTTGAGAGAACACAAAGAGTGGATGCACCTGCGCCATTGCAAACGATTTTGAGCCATGTCATTCAAGGTCTCTAACCATCGGTTGCTATCGTCTCGCGGTCCCCAACCAGGTAGTCTACACTTACCAACATGACTCAGTCCACTTGTCAGTGACTTCATGGATTTGTGCCATGTTTTGGTCTGGCCGCCCCTAGCTTTCTTCCAACCTACTACTACACCATAAAACATCGCACGTCGGGGCAGTCGGTGGTCGGGCATACGTAACACATGTCCCAGCCATCTCAACTGATGAAGTTTCACTACTTCATCAATTGGTTTGCCATCCTTACCTAGTACCCGTTTCCTAACAACTGCATTACTTACTCGATGGTCCCAGGATATACGAGCAATGTTTCGAAGACACCTATGATCAAATACTAGCAACCTACGAATATCCTCTACTCTTACCGGCCATATTTCACTGCCATGAAGTAGGACGGAACGAACTGCTGAGCAGTAAACACGCCCTTTGGTTGATAGACGAATATCTCGCCTACGCCACAAATGGCGCAAGTTGGCAAAAACTAGTCGAGCCTTTTGTATCCGTGCTGAGATTTCGTCACACACCAAACCACAAGGGCTGATGAGACTTCCGAGATAAGTGAAGCGGTCGACACGCTCAACTACTTCACTCCCTATCACTAGTTCCGGTGTCGATGCAACCCAATCCTGAAGCAACATTTTGCATTTCGAGGGAGAAAATCGCATGCCGAACATGCTTGCATTGTTGCTTAGAGTGGTCAGCAGACTCTTCATTCTGTCAGCGTCTTCACTAAATAGAACTATGTCATCGGCATACTCTAAGTCAACAAGTGGATCTCCCGGTAGAAGTTCAACCCCTGGAAATTCAAATGTGGAAAGTGTCATCTCTAAAAGCACGTCAACAACAAAGTTAAACAAGAATGAAGAGAGTGGACAGCCCTGACGAACACCACTTGAGGTAATCAATTCTGATGACAGTTCACCATAAGCTCTCACTCGACCAGTTGGGTTCGAGTAGAGAGCCTTCATAAGGTTAATATACTTCTTTGGTACTCCTTTCAGTGACAAACACTGCCATAGAACCTCACGATCAACAGAGTCAAATGCCGCCTTAAGGTCGAGAAATACTAGGATTGTGGGGCGTCTGAATGTGTGTCTATGTTCTAAGACCTGACGTAGTGTGAATATCTGATCTATACAACCACGTCCAGGTCGGAAACCAGCCTGGTTTTCTCTAGTCTGCTCTTCACGAGCTTTGGTTAGGCGTCGAAATATTATTGAAGCTAATATTTTAGACACTATATTAGTCAAACTAATTCCTATGTGATTGTCACAAGAGGACTTTTGTCCTTTCTTATAGACTGGTACAATCAGTGATTGAGACCAGTCAGATGGGATTACGTCCAGTTCCCAGATTCTACCTAAGACCTCAGTCAATCTCGCTGCTAATACTGAACCGCCATCCTTAAAAATCTCAGGGGTAAACCTGTCAGGGCCTGCTGCTCTCCCACGCTTCAGATTTCCTATAGCTTTTTCAACTTCATAAAGAGTCGGAGGACTTACATCAACTTGCCATTCAGGTCGACTGGAGATCGTGGGAAACCGAAGTGTGGCTGAAGGCCAGTTGAACTGATCCCTAAAGTGTTCTGCCCATCGATCCAATCTCCTGGATTGAGAATGTATAATATGTCCATCTTTTTATGAAATAGTTTCGCTAACAGTCGGGTTCCTAATACCGGTTTCCTTAACAAGTCTGAACAGTTGCCTACTGTTACCTATTGCCGCTGCCTTTTCCATCTCTCTTGCTTTCGCTACCCACCACTGTTCTCGATCATTGCGTAAGCTTCTGGTCAGTTTACGCTTAATCTGACTCCGCTCTTCGTTATGTTCAGAGCCAGATGGAATGAGTTTTCGAGCATCTATCAGTGCGGTAGATGCTGCTGAGATCCAGTGTTTCTCCATAACCTTGTGGTTTACCGTACTTGCAGACATCACTGCTGTCTCTACAGCCTTTCGGATATCATTTCTAGCTGCCTCGGGATGGGCATCACATACATGGCTGCCTAACCGTTTTTATAGTTGTTCCTGAAATATACTTCTAGCTTGACTATCATTAAGTAGGGCCCTAAGAGGTTTCCTTGCAGCGTCTCTCCTACGTCCAGTAAGACGCAGACAAATACGCGCTCACACTAGAGCATGACCTGAGTCTAAGCATGTGCTCCAGATTGAGCGACAGTCTTCTATCGAGCCCCTCCATCGGTGGCTGATAGCAATGTGATCTATTTGGGTTTAACGTTGGGACGAATTAGGGAGTCGCCATGTTAAAAAATGTTTTTCCTTATGCTTAAAGTTAGTGTTTGCAAAAAACAGGAGGTTATCTGAGCACAGCTGCAACAGACGGTCGCCATTATCTGTTCTTTGAGCCGCGACACCATAAGATCCACCCAGGTGTCTTTCCCTTTCGCTTAGTTTACCTACTTGAGCATTAAAGTCACCAGCCACTATTACTACATCTAAACGCCTAGCTTTTCGGAGAAGGTCGGAAAGCTTTTTGTAAAACATCTTTTACATCATCTGAGCTGCAGTCAATGGGAGAGTAGGCAGAGACGACGAAGAGGCAACGACGAGTATCCCTATCTTTCCGAGTCCTTACTGTTCCGTTTAGTCGGACAGCACACAAACGACTGTCTACTGGGATCCAGTCCAAGAGAGCTAGTTCTGCCCTAGGACTCAATGCTATGCCTACGCCAGCGAGGCCACGGGAAGCAGCATCAGGGCTTCCAGATAGACGAAGCGTGAATCGAGTTGGTTCTTTATTTTGACATTGTGAGGTCAAATGAATGAGGCTATTCGGATCCCGTATGCGTGTTTCGGAGACGCAGCACACATCGATGGAGCGAGATTCTAAAGTCCTAGCTGAAGAAGCCTGTTGTCCTATTTCGCACAGTGTTCGAACGTTGAAAGCTCCTACGTGTAGTTTAGAGCGTGGTTTCAGGAGATCAGGAATAAAATTCCACGTACTCGAATCGTTTGCACTGGCGGGGCGAGGTGATAAAGGAACGTGAGAAGGGTTGGTCGTGGAGATAAGAGAGTTATTAGGAGGTGTAGGAAGGATTTGAATGTGACCAACTTGGTCTCGTGTGCTGTTACGGGTATGAGGACTGATGTCACTTCCCGGTTGCCCACACCGTGGAAGGGTATTTCTTGAGGAACCTGGAAAGGAAATCGGATTAGTGTTGGTCTTGTAGACCTGGGTGTGTGACCACATCCCAAGGGACAACCGCTTAAGACCGGTCGCGCATGGCCTTTTTGTGGGAGACTTTTAATGTGTTAGCTCCGTTCTTCAAAGGGACTTGCCGCCGGAGACGGAAATCCGTGGGGTAAGGTGAGGTGTGATATTTTTAGGGTCAACCTTTTCTAACCCCTTCTTTTTTTGTGAGAAGGCAGCATCGCTGTTATGCTGGTTGTCCGAGGGAAACACCTGCAGGAACATGTGTTCCATCCAATATAGCTCGGTTGGGTCATCACGATAGGCAAGCCCGACCACCACGTCAAGGTAGCAGCTAAATGTATCCCTCTCTACGTTAGGAAGTTGGTCACTGGTCTCTGAATTATTTTTACTAATCTCGTCTGTATGCTAAATAAATTTTAAAACTAAGTAAAAATATGAAGTTTAAGATGGTCATTTCCTGTGGTTCTCTTAAATCTATCTACAAAGGGTATGTTAACAAGGATGTGATATTGGAAACAACTAATCAAGGTTAGGTTTACATTTTGAGGTTCATTATCACAAGTTAAGCCATACACCAACTATCAGTACCTTACATATTTCATAATATTTAAGAAAAAGCCAATGTAAACATTTAATCGTACTTGTTTATTTTGTGCAGCCGCTTGACTGGACTTTCTCAAAGGCCTCATCCAATTTCAGGCCATATTAAGCAATTACCACATGTGTTGCCTAAAGGTTGGTTTTCCTGCTCCGACAAATCTGGCAGAACAATTTATTTAAAGTAAGAATTTTGCAGATGTTGTTTGAAGAGTAACCAACTTTTATTTGTAGCCAGATCAATTTTTTTTTATTTAGTAACTCGGATCTGGGTTTTATTAAACTAGTTGACCTAATTAATAGATGTAGGGAGAGTTGCATCCAGTATGCTATAAAATGGTAGCTCCTTAGTTTCTTATACCTTTAAAGATGTGAACTGGGATAAGAACGAGCTTTATTGATCTCGGCCGAATGTGTTAATTGTATGTATCATTTTCAGTCTCTCGATTTTCAAAATTTGTCCAGTTCTGTTTCTGTTAGTTTTTATCTCATACTAACATCTGAAGCAAAATAATCAGCCGACAGTTTTTTTGTCGGCATCTCTGATTGCAATGTTCTTATTTATTTTGACTATTAGTTCTTTATAAAGCGGATTCAATAATCATTAGTTGTGGATACTATGCGAAAGTAATTGTTTTCCGATCCCCATAGGTATTGGACAATACACTGAGTTTTGGTATGAGAAGAGAAGAAAGCAACGAAATGAAATAAATTTATTGTAGTCTTCAAACATTGTCGTTCTTGTTTTTAGATGGAGATCTGTAGCTCATGAGGATGATCTATGTGTTTAAGTCGTGAAGTTCTAATCGTCTTTCTAGACAACGTAATCTGTACTGCTTCAGAGACTTGAATGCTCATGTCGGGCGTCTAGGCACAGAAGAGAGTCGTTTAGGTGGCCGATAGGGACTTGTTGGTCGCAGGACAGATAACGGGGACCGTCTACTGCAACTATGAACAGACCACAACCTGTTTCTAGTTAGCACTAACTTTTGGCACAGTCATCGCCAATGTGCCACCTGGCGTCCTCCCTCTGCATCTCAAGCCTGGACTCAGATTGATCACATCGCGATCAGCTACCGCTGGCGTGGTTGTGTACAAGACTGCCGCTCCTTTTGGAGTACCTATCTGGAATCTGATCATGCCCTGGTCTGCTCCAATCTTGCCTTACTTTTCAGTGGCCAACGAAGTGATCGTCACCAGAACATGGATGTCAGCAAGTTTGTTGCAACTAAGTATCGAACCGAGATAGTTTCTAGGCTAGCTGCCATTCCATCGAAAAGTATAGATGAGCATTGGTTGCAATTGCATGACGCCATGAAAATGGCGGGTAAAGTCTGTTGTGGGTTCGCGAAACGTCCCGCTTACAAGCACTGGGTTTCTTCAGGCTTCTAACAACTCATCGAAGCCCGTCGGTCTACTCCGGGTGACCGTGAGTTTGACCACAGACGAAGGATGTTACGTAATGAAATCGGGCAAAGCTTGCGTAAGGACCGAGAAGCCTGGTGGTCGGAGCGTGCCAGTGAGTTGGAAGCAGCAGCTGCATCTGGTAATTACCGGAAGCTCTTGCAACTCATCGGAGCCACTGGCAGCAAGAAGTCTGGTGTGAGCGAAACAATCTGTGAGGATGACGGGATGCCAATCACTAACATCCATCGACGTCTTGGACGATTGGCAGAATTTTTCGAAGGGCAGTTCAACTGGCCTGCTGCTCCGGCAACATCGGTCATACTGTCCTGTCGGCAAGGAACTCCAACTCTTGAAACGCTTCAAATCACCGGGCCCAGACGACTTATCTCCAGCTCTTTTTAAAGATGGTGATGACTTTCTGACTAAGGGACTGACGACGTTGTTTACAAATGTCTGGGAACTAGAGAGTGTACCAACGTCATGGAATGAGTCGATAGTTGTCCCTATCTTTAAAAAGGGTTCACGTCGTTCCTGTAACAACTACCGGGGGCTTCCGTTATACTTCGTAGGTTGTTCAAAACCCGAGAAGGATTGACTCGCGAGGAGCAGGCTGGTTTTCGTCCTGGTCGAGGATGTATTGATCATATCTTCACCCTCCGCCAAATGTTAGAACACCGTTATACTTATCAAAGGCCAACAATCGTAGTGTTTCTTGATATCAGGGCTGCTTTCGATTCATTGGACAGAACTGTTCTCTGGGATTGTCTATTGAAGAAGGGTGTGCCTGAGAAGTTTATTGGCATCCTAAAAGCCCTATACACAAACACCTCAGGCATAGTGAGGGCATACAACCACCTTTCTCCTTTATTCCATTCGAGCAGTGGAGTTAGGCAAGGTTGCCTAATCTCACCATTCCTCTTCAACTTTGCCATCGATGACATTCTGGAAACAGCTCTGATGGATGTAAGTAATGGTGGTGTGAATCTGTTGCCTGGAGAAAGACTTCTCGACCTTGAGTATGCGGATGATATTGTCTTACTGTGCTATAATACCAACGCCATGCAATCCGCACTTAATCAGTTGGCAATCAGTGTCTGTAGGTACGGTATGTGCTTTGCACCTTCGAAGTGCAAAGTACTTCTACAAGATTGGCAGGATTCTAATCCTGTACTCACTCTGGACGGTGAGCAGATAGAAGTAGTCGAGAAGTTCGTGTATCTGGGTCGCTGCATAAGTGCTGCTGGTGGTGGCGTGAATGATGAGATCAATGCACGTATAGTGAAAACCAGAGTGGCTTATGCCAATCTGGGCCATCTTTGGTGCCTTCGTGATGTTAGTCTGGCTGTAAAAGTTCGGATCTACAACGCGACGGTGAGAGCAGTTTTGCTCTATGCTTGTGAAACCTGGCCTCTTCGAGTTGAGGATGTTAGACGACTCTCTGTGTTCGATCATCGCTGTCTCCGAAGGGTTGCTGACATCCAGTGGCAACACCATGTCAGTAATGCAGAGGTTCGGCATCGAGTGTTCGGTCACAGAGACGATAATGCAATATGTGTCACCATCTCGAAACACCGGCTTTGGTGGCTTGGACATGTTCTACGAATGTCGTCACAGAGAATTCCACGTCGTGCATTATTTGCCGAATCTGGGACTGGTCGGAAAAAGCAGAGAAGTGGTCAGGGTATGACATGGTGTCGTGGTATGAAAGAAAGCTGCAAAGGGCTGGCTTGTGTTGGTCCTTCACGACTCCCTGACTGGGGTCCGAGAGGTGGTGTAACACAGTGGCTAGAAACGTTATCAGATATGGCTCAGAATAGAAGCCAGTGGCGATCCTGCTGTAACCTTCTTTTACTTTCTTCATAAAGTGGTTGCATCTTCCTTAACTGTAAGATTTCTACTGGTTGTACCTTTCCTTTTCCCCCATTATTATTATTTTCACACTACCTTACACTAGTCTGGTCGTTCTCGTTCTTTTTTTACACTCCTTACCTTCTCTTTCTTCTCTTCAAATTCTCGTTGTTTTGTGTGGCGGATATATATTTTGTGCCCTCTTGTGCCAATATTTATGTGTTCAAATAAAATAAATAATAACTGCTCCAGATAGAAGCGAGCCGCTGGGATTTCCCCACAAGTGACTAACAGCGTGTTTCGTTAAAATGAGCTTTTCCCAACACTTCTCTTTACCTTTATTTTGAGTGTCTTTTCAGTCAACATAATTCTTGACCTAATGTCTGTTCATTATTTTTCTTAATTGATTGATAAACTGAATTCACTTCAATATATTTGTTGATTGCTAATTGAATTATGTCCTAAGCTACGAAAGATTCTGTGGTCGTGATTTACCTGATCAGGATTTCAGAGCGGAGATACTTTGTGGTGTTCGACAGCTAGTTGCTGTTTAAGGAGATGAAGATGAAAAAGCGGACCTCTTAGCCTGATCCTCTACTTCCCTTGTTTAGATACCTGTTGGCTACGTCGAATTAGTCAGGTAGTAAATTTGTCTGGCTGGTCTAATTCTCCCCATCGACACATATCATTTTTGGCTTGTTTGGACTTTTTTTAAACCAGTTTTTATATACTAATAATCGATAAGCTCACATAATCTAACTAAGCATGAATTTCTTTTCACATACTAAGTATTTAACGCGTCATATATTCCTTAATGATAGTTCTTAATTGTAGTCATTACAATTAACGTACTATCCTTATTATCAACTCTTTTTCTTTGAAACAGTTTAGAAACTGGCTGTTCAACTTATTCTGATCCTCGACTTGCTGCTGCTCTGTTAACCCACTCTACAAAATCACTCAGAAGTACCCAATTTAAATTTGACAAATTCTCAAGTGTAAATGATGTAAGTTGTTTCTATGAACAAGATGTGTCAACTCCGAGTGTAGACTCAGTCATAGTCATAATGTAGAGCCTGGCGTAAATTTGTGCTGGCCCAAGTTGCCATACCACAATACCATAGCGAGACAAGATTAAGATTATGAATAGAAAAGAGTCTAAACAATTGTACTAATAATAATTATAGGGACTAAACATTGCAAATGTTATTCTAGAATGCTGAATGAAGAGCTATGGATGAAGAAATACTGGAACTCAAGATGTAGGGGAAGATTAAGAGTGAATGCATCTGCGCCACTGCGATCGATTCCACCTAGAAAACTTTAACTACGTAGTCTGTGTTTACCAACATGGTTTAGAGCAACTGTGAAATCATAGACTGACATCTTGTTTTAGGTTTGACGGTCCCTAGCTTTCATCTAACCTACACTTATACCAGCAAGTATCTCATTTTAAGGTGGTCTATCGTCACACATACCTAATGCCTGTCAGCCAATAAAGAGTTACTATGCTGTCAACCGATTTGTCATCTTTACCTAAAACCCTGTGCCAAACTTCAGCATCACTTACTCGGTCGTTCCACTGTATGTGAACAATACTTCAAAGAAAGCTATAATCAAAAACTTACGGCCGATAAGTATGCCTAGAAGACAGGCATACTTATCGGCGTCCGACAATGGTGGTCTTTCTTGACTTAAAAGCAGCATTTGACTCCGTAGACCGCGAGATTCTGTGGCAGTGTCTGTCATTGAAAGGCGTACCTCAGAGGTACATAAACCTTGTGGACGCTCTTTACTCGAACACTATTAGTCGAGTCAGAGCTTATGGCAAACTGTCATCTGATTTTGCAACCCTAAGTGGTGTCCGCCAAGGCTGTCCACTTTCTCCATTTTTGTTTAACTTCATCATAGACCTACTGATGGAAATAACGTTCTTGTCAACTAAATTCTCGGGCATTGATTTCCTATCAGGAGGTCCACTTATCGACTTAGAATACGCAGATGACATAGTCCTGTTTGGTGAAGACGCTGATAAAATGCAGTCTTTTGGTAGAATTAAGCAACAATCCCAGAATGTTTGGAATGCGTTTCTCTCCCTCTAAATGCACGTTGTTGCTTCATGACTGGTCCGCGTCAACATCGGGAGTGAAGAAGTCGAACGCGTTGACGACTTCATTTATCTTGAACGTCTGATCAGCCCTAATGGGTTGGTGTCTGACGAAATCTCAACATGGATTCGAAAAGCTCATTTGGCTTTTGCCAACTTATGTCATCTATGGCGAAGGCGAGATATCCGTTTATCAATAAAAGGACGAGTATACTGCGCGGCAGTTCGTTCTGTTTTACTTTACGGCTGCGAGACGTGGCAATTAAGAGTAGAAGATACTCGTAAGCTACTAGTATTTGACCACAGATGCCTTAGTAATATTGCTCGCATCTGCTGGGATCACTGGGTAAGTAATGGTGAGGTTAGACACAGTGTATTATGGAACGAGGGTAAGTCAGTTGATGAGGTTGTGAATCTTCATCGACTGAGATGGTTGGGCCATGTGTTGCTTATGCCTGAACACTGATTACCACTACGTGCAATGCTAACCGATGTTGGGGATAATTGAAAGAAATTTAGGGGTGGCCAAACCAAAACATGGCATCAGTGCTTGAAGTCACTAACTTCTGGTCTGAGCCATGTTGGTAGATGCAGACTACTTGGTTGGGGTCCGCGTGACTATCGTAACCAATGGTTGGAAATTTGGTGACATGGCTCAGAATCTATCACGATGGTGTCGGCGTATACACTCTCTGTCTTCCCTTAAACTATGAGGTTAAAATTGCTTTATATCTTTCCTTCTACCAACTAAATCTTTCTTCCTGTAGTGTATCTTTATATGCAATCTTTCGTTTATATATTACCACCATTGACTTAACTACTATGAATTTGGTGTTCATCTTGTTGTGCTAATGCGGTATGGCAACTTGGACCGATGCATATATGTTGCCTGGTCCTACGTTTTAGTTGACTGACTGGCTTACACAAAGCTTTCATAAATAGTGTTTCACATCTATATAGTAATACAGTGCGAAATGCTGCGCAACTTGAAGACAGGTACTTTATTTATTTGAACACATAAACACTGGTACAAGGGGCACCAAATACATATATGCGCTACACAGTGAGGCCAGTAGTAGTTATTATGATTTGTATGAGGGCTGTGATACTTCCCGGGTGCCCAAACCGAAGCTAATGTTTTTCTTAGGGGACCACACCAGGAGCCTTTGACCTGGAGGTCTAATACACAAGCCAGCGGAACAACGAGAATGCATTGAGCAGAATTTCCCTGACAGTGGCTGTATACGTGTGGCCATGTGAGAGTGTTTCGAAGGGGAGCGGACTCTCCCCACCCTCGGTCGTACTAGGGCGTCTGGGGGCATTTTATCTACGTCACAAGTAACACATATTAACATAGGCTTTCTGAATCCGTGCTGAGGTTTCGTCAAATACCAACTTTCTTGGGCTGATTATACTTCCAAGGTAAGTGAAATGGTCAACACACTTAACTACTTCACTCCCTTTATTAGTTTGGGCGTTGATGTAGACCAGTCTTGGGGCGACATCGTAAACTTGCTTGCTTTATTGTTCGAAGTGATCAGATGAATCCGAACTTGACCAGCATTTTTACAAAACAGAACTATCAGGTGTCTATTCCAAGTCGATAAACGAATCTCATGGTAGATCAAGTGAAAGGTTTAGTGAAGAAAGTGTTACTTGCGGGAGCACGTATATGATGAAATTAAACGAGAATCGAGACAGTCGACAACCCCAACGAATACCACTTAATATTACCAATTCTGATGACAATTCGCCACAAGCTCCGACTATACTAATGGTGTTTGAATAGAGAGTCTTTACAAAGCTTATATATTTATTTGATGCTCCTTTTAGTGCCAAGCGCTGTCACCAAACCGCTCGGTCAGCGGAGTTGTGTGGTGTCTTAAGGTCAAGGATCACCACTAGAGAAGGTCTGTAGTGTCAGTTGGCTATGTCAAGTCCACATAGCTTATTCTAGCTTCAGGACAAGCCAATTTTTCATTCTTCTTGAGTTACATTTTGATCGTGTTAATTATTCACTTATCAACCTTGACTGTTTTTATGTTACCATATGTATGCGCATTGCTTATCCTACTCATTACAGGTCTGTAACATTTTTGTTTGACTATAAATGTCGATTAACTCTTGATTAAATCGAGTTGGCTCATTTACCTTCTCCACCGCGCATCAACCCGTTTTACTTCTCTCTTTCCTCTTCGCTTCGTTCCTCTGATTGTCTGTCCAGGTCAATGAGTGTACGAAATAAACGTATTCAAACCTCATTCTCGTACTTGACATTTAATTGCTTTATTCACTGACGCGACTTAAGTCTATGATTATGCACGAGGATTGGCGACATGTATATTTCAGCAGCAATCATTCATACGATCATAACAGGATCCGATTGGAGTCAGATTAAGGGCCACTAAAAATTCTTAGTGGACTCAAACAGGACTGGATAAAGCGATTGTCGTTATTTGGGACAGTGCTCTACTTTCTACTAGGTTTGTTGTTAAAACGCTAGAATGTAGTTTGATTTTTTTCATGAAACAATGATGATGGTTTGATGATCTCAGCTGGGTGTATATCAAAATTGAATAAACTGAGGAAATGTTTGGTGTGGTTGTTTTGATTTAAATATTTCTTCACTAACCATTTGTTACGCCTCTCATTAACAGATGGTGCCCTAAAACTTGTCGACCAATGGATTCGAATGCTGTATCAAGTTTATATAGTATAACTATAATTGGACGTCGGTAATATGTCTATGATCGGTACATCCACATTTGGGTTTGGAACCGGCCTAGTTTTCTCAGGTTGTGTGTTACAAAGCAGCAGCCTTAGACGAATATAGAGGCTTGTATCTAATTTCTCTATCAATCTAGCCGCTAAAATTTAACCACGACCTAGTAAGATCTACAGGGTTAATCTATAAAGTCCCACTTCTCCCCCCTCGTCTTAGATTATCTGTAGCTTTTTCAAATTCAGGTATAAAGGGACTTATCTCGCACTCTCATTCTGGTTGTTTCGGAGTAGTAGGCATCTGTAGTATAGTTGAATCGCTTTTTGAAATGCCTCGCCCTTCGTTCCATTCGTCTGAACTGAAAGTCGTGGTTTTGTCTTTTTCAAAGGTAGTTTCACTTGCACTTCGCAATACCTGTTTCTTTAGTAAGTCTGGAAAGTTGCCTAGTATTACCTGACATTGCAACCTTTTACATCTCTTTTGTTTAACTTTCCCACCACTACTCACAACCATTGGGTAAACATTTTTATGTTTACGTTTGAGTTTTGGTTGCTCTTCATTGTTCTTCACGTCTGAAGGGATGAGTTTCCGAGTATTTATCGACTCAGTAGATGCAAACAAAACCTACTTGTCCTTCTTAACCTTTTGATTTGAATTGGTGACGGATATCACTGCTTTTTTATAGCTGTTTACACATCATGACAAACTTCAGGGTGAAGTTCAACTACTTGCTTAATTAATCCCTTTCTGTGTTCCTTCTTCACGTTTTTATCTGTGAATTGATACGTAAGAGATCTTCCTGTCATGGATTTTGTGTCCAGTAAAATGCGTAGAACATAGTCGGAGTCGAATCATGTCCTCGAGAAGGGGTAACAGTCTTCCATCGAGCTTCTAGCGATGTCTGGTGACGATTTGGTCTAATTATGATCATTTTTGTATTGATGTTAGAGGTTGCTAAGTTAAATGGTGTCTTTTTTAATGCTTAAAGTTTTTATGTTATAGGAATAGTCGGTTGTTCGACATTCATTGCGAAATACGGTCGCCGTTGTTCGACTTAGCCTATCACTTAAAGTGTTAAAATATCTGCTACGAGCGCCTGAAAGTCAGAACGCTCTCTGTAAACCTTATCTTTTGCTCTTACCGAGATGAAGATCGATAAAGCAAACAAAAGAAATACTAGTTAATAAAGAAGAGGACTGATTCTATGGTAGATGATCTAGATTTCTGTTTAAGTGTAAGAGGGATTGTCACTTCCCGGTCCCCTACATAGTGGAAGGCTACTTCTTCGTGAGGTGCCTGAAAAGGAAACTGAGTTACGGGTGGTCTTGACGACCTAGGAGCTTGGTCGCAGTACCCAAGGGGGAACTGTTCAAAATATATGGCGCGAATACATCGAATTTTTGGGTAGTAATTCCGTCTCAGTACTCTATCGAAATTTTTAGATGAACTGTCGCACCAATAGTCTAGTAGACTGACTGCCTCTTCATTTATTTTTTCTTACAATGACCTGACCAATCAAAAGTAACGTTTCCCCCCTGAGATCTCAGGACCGAAAAGAGATACCAAAGATCTTGTTCACATTTTTTGACACTACTTACATATATTAAATAAGAACCAGTGTTGTTGGAGTTAACTACGTATTTTTAATTCAAAGTGACTAGTTATTGTAATGTTGGTTGGATTAATATAAGAATGAATAAGATTTCAAGTCGACCAAACTAAACCAAGATACTAGACTGCAAACGCATAGTTCGGTCTATACCGCTTTTAAGAAGTGAAAAACAGTTATTAAGAATTATTGATAACTATTTAGAATTGATTTAGCGTTTAACTAAGCAACTTTCGACCGTGTTGTTGTCAGTCCTGATCCCGTTATAGCTAGATCAGTGTGGATACCCGAATACTATCAATAGCCATCGCACAGGAATTGGTTCGAATTCAAGTACATAGACCTTTACTTGGCAAACTGGTTTCATGTGTTAATAAATTCACATTACAGTGACTGACGTAACACTTTGTGTGAAATCGTACGAGAAAATAATAATTCTCACTCTATAACTTATACTTTGGAATTCGTTATCCAAATATAATGACAGTGAGTTTAGTACAAATATTTTTAAAAAGTATTAATTGTTTTGTTTTCGCGATAATTTGGGAATATTTTCTTCTGTTGTTGTAGATTCTATTAAATAAAGATCTCCGTGGGTTTCACGTTGTTGTAACAAATTCAGGCTGTGGTCTTGGTTTATCAATCGCTGTTCATCTCGTTCAATATGGAGCTACTGTTATATGCGCTTGTACTAAATGTCCAGAAAATGCTATTCCTGTATTTGAAAAAACGAAGGCATATTATGAAGGCAGTATCACTGTAGACTTAACTTTAAAGTCAATTAATAAAGAATCAGGTCAACTATATTGGATACCGTATAATCCTTTGGAATTACATAGCATCATACAATCCGTTCATGTGAGTTGCCTCCAATTTATGTCAAATGGTCATTTATTCGATGAAAAATCTTCAGTCTTTCAAATATTCCGTATAGAGAAGGTCTAAGATAATACACTTGTGTAGAGAAAATGGTGAAGTAGTTACGACTGTTTACGACACTAGCTACTAATGAAATTTCCTATCTTCGAGCTACAGGGGTGGCTTGACCATAGAATACAGGCACACTAAAATGAAACCCTTAGATGTAACATTTCCATACAGATTTTCTGGATATCCTTTACATCAATATTTTAATACTTCCTCATAATATTCATCTTTTAAATTCTGAAGTTAAATTAAATTATTACTTGTTTTTATAAAGATTTTCTACAATTTAAAAGTAACTTGTTTGAATAATCGAAATCAGTTAGTAATAAAAAAAACTCATTGATCACTAAAAAGCCAGTTTGTTCTTTTGATTGACTTCAGGAGTCATTTCCTGGAGTTCTATGTAAAATTCATGAGCTATATGGTTAACTAAATTGAATTTAAAGTGGTAATTCATACTGTGCTGCAAAATAACCGAAATGAAAACATGAAAACCATTCATTCAAAACTCATTGTGCCAATAGTATCACGTTCTTCGTGAGATCTAATGGTTTTGAATTCGAACATATATGGACTTATGGTAGCACACCACTCAGACAAAACAGCTGTTCATTTTTTACAGCAAATATCTGTTCATGGTAGAAATTACTCTCAGATTAAACTATATTTCACTTTTTTCAGTGAACTATTTTTCTTTAACATTGAAGAGGAAGAATGTCTTTGTAAAATCTCAGTGAAATAATTTGAAGTGAATCCAACGTTTCCCCTGGCAATCTGGTCCAAGCTTTTTCAAGGAAAATATAATCAAACAACAAAATTATCGAATATAAATAGGTACATGGTTCTCTGGTTTACTGTATACTGAATAAGTTATCCAATCAACGTGAATACTGTTTGAAGTAGGCATTTACATTAGTGTGTAAGAGACATGTGTGAAACGAAAAGTGTTAAGATAACAGATTGTGTGTGTGAAGAAATTTCATTCAACTATATATAGTATTCGGTATGTATATATTAAGAAAACATATCATTTTATATATGATATGAATAAAAAATGTCACAGCATGCATTAAATGAAGATAAATAAACGAGATAAGTAAACAGGATAAAAGACTGAATTCAAAGAGGAAGAATGTGTTTGTAATTGAAAGTTTGTGTTATTTTAATGTTCCAGTCAATTATTTAACATATTCAGATAAGATAACTGATTTCAACCGTTGAATGTATTATCTATTGGTTAGTTAATATGATATAGATAGATAGAATGGAATAAGGAGTCCAGGTTTACTTATTAATTATTAGTTGCCATGGGACAGCTAATTGTATTCCATCTCTCCTATTAATACTGTTTGAATTAGCCCATATATGCAGGGCTTCGACTGATAGTCGTTCTTTATAAGAATTAAAGCCTTTTTGAATGATTCTTGCGCCATTGAAATCAATTGTATGACCCGATTCTATCGAGTGTAATGCTACCTCTGATTTGTCCTCAAGTTTTCTTACATCATCTGAGGGTTTAGGAATGTGCTTTAAACATATTTTGTGTTCCTTCACCCTCACATTCAATTACATTGATGTTTCACCTTCATAAGTTGCATTACAGTCATTACGTTTGATTTCATAAACACAATTCTGTTGTTCTTCCTTGTGTATTGGATTTTTGATTCTTAATAATTTTGATCTCAGAGTATTGTTTGTTCGAAAGAATACTCTTATGTTTTGAAGAGTTAGAATCCTTCTGGCCTCTTCTGAAATACCTTTACGATATGGGATCACCACTGTGTTAATCCATTCTTTTTGCTTAACTCTTTTTTTAATAATATCATTTTGTTCTTCATTAGATTTACTTCAAATTCTCTTGCTGAGATTTTACAAATACATTCTTTCTTTTTAATGTCTCACATTAATTCGGCGCCCAAATATTGTGAAACTATTCGTTCAAATTTTGACGGAAGTTCTTATTTATTTTTCTTTAAACTGTAGATATTACAGTCATTAAACTGGCCTATTCATGCGTGTATCATAACTGATGATTTGCTTCCTCCTTTCGCTGGATGGAATTTTTTTCAATCTTTTACAAGGTAACTGTTATTGTTGTTATTGGTCTAAGTTTTATTGTAGTCAATATAGTAGGTTTGCTAAACGATAAGATTTTCAGTGTAAAACAATATATCCGTAACTCATATTAATGATATAATTTCGGCAAGCAGTTATAACACTATTATTTCCTCGTAGCTCACTGGTGCACATTTCGGTAGTATTTTTAGGCTCTATATTATCGCTGAATAACTGACTGAAATATACTTAAACGTAATACAGAATCTGTACTGTAAAGATTAGCAGTAGCATTTGGTTTCGTAGTTCGAAGAAACTGGTGTATATTATAATGGGTTAGTAGTCAGTTCTTTAAATTTCAGTAGTCTTGGTAATACACTTAATTAATTACTAAAAATGTATTTTCGTCACTGATCTATGCTATACTAAAAGCTTTTTGCAGAAGAGATTTCAAATAAAATCTATTATTACAAAACATAAATTTCATAAATACTTTACTGTATAGCGTGATAAGTAATTGTCGTTTCCTTTATTTTTTGAATGATCATTAACGATTATGTCTAGTTAAAACGGTTTATTTGGGTGATTTTCATTTTAATCACACTTTAAAATAAACTTGCCTAATTCCTACTTCGTTTTGTATTTACTTTGTAGGATAGTGTCTTGTTTGCGTGAAATGATTCCGTCTAAAGTTTCATCCTGGTTTAAATCTATTTTTAAGTTTGTAACAAACTATGAAATACAAGTATTCAATTGGTTTGGGAAAAAGATACTTCCTGCATGGATTCCTGCTTATTCATGTGAATGTTCACCTAAACATTTCCCGTATTTAACTTCTGACGGATTTGAAGTATCAATGCAATGCAATTATTTAGCTCCTGCCTTGTTTTTGCAACGATTGTTAAAAACAAAATTTGATTATTTACCTTCTCTTTCAACTACTTCATCAGACAAAACATTTGACAGCTCAACTTTGCGTGTGGTGATAGTTTCATCAGAGATTCACAAGTAAGCTTCACTCTGAAATAATTTATATATGTTCAATGTTCGCTAAGAAATAACGCTCTAGTTATTGATGAAAAATTATTATAGAATAAGCTAACAATTATTTACAGTAGCTGTTAGGGTTGAAGCTATCACTAGTTCACTTAATTTGCGAACGAGAACGAGATTCAATGATCAAGACCAGTAGGCTAGCTGATGACGCGTCCCAGCCCCGCTATCTAGCGAGAGAAGACCAAGCTTAGAATGGAAGTATATTCTGCAACAACCAGAAAACCAGCGATTTTTTACAAGACGTATATATACAAATATATATATCGATATTGCCATGGAGCTTTTAAACATTTAATCGATAACTTCGTCAATCAACTATGTGCGTGGGTGGTAAGAAATGCCCACGTATACATCTGCATACAAGCTCCACAAGATAAAATTACAAACTATGAGTTTTTGGGGATCTATGGTCCCCAACAGTAGCCTAGTTGTATATTTCTATATCAGTGGTCGTCCGCTACTGAACAGAAACCATAATGTAAGGTAATTACGAAATGCCACATTCGGCATATCTTGTGTACCCTTACAGTTATATGTATAATTTAAAAAAAAACGATACCACATTCCTTCTATTTCTTACTATTATTTTACATAACCTCACGGACAGGCACGAACCAAATGCACAGCACACATTAGTTTCATCTTAATTTTGTATAAGCCCATTTCTTCAAACGATTGTAACAACTCTATTTGGTTTACTTTTCTTTGTGCAAACACAGACATTTTTTCTATATATCTTTGTTTGCAGGGGGAACTATTATAGCAACTCACGTGCAATTGAGTTTGTTCTCATTTAATTCGGTTAAGCCCTTTTGCTAACTTATTTAGCGGTCAAAGTCATCTGTACTACAACAACTTATTGTACCTTTATTATTGTTGTGCTTGTATGAAATATGTATGCTTTAACATTGTTTACCGCCTACTCGTATGTTCATTCTGCTAGCTATATTATTAACTGCTTAATCGATTCGATGATCCATTCATTTTTCCTATATATATATATATATATATATATATATATATATATATATATATATATATATTTGATACTACATTCTCAGTTCGCTGACTCACTCATTCATCTCTCTGCTCTGTGGTCTGAGTTATCTGCTAATAAAATTGTAGCCGCTGCTTCTCTTTGCCTTCTGATTTCAAACACCGTTGAGGATTATACGATAACGGTTACGAGGGTGATTGGTTAAGGAAGCACAGCAGCTACAGCATTCTTAGGTCTGATCCTTCGAACCGCTGACAGTATTTATTTACTTTATTTTTTAACTCACGCAGCAGCTCATTTGTGATGAAAATTCCATCTTGTCTTAAAGAACTCAGATGGCCGACTGGTCGAACTTTGAATGCTGCCAACTAATATGGAATCTAAAACCTTGTGTGCTTTACAAAATGTCCAACTTCAACAACCGTACATCGATGCATATTGGACAACTGATGCGTTTGGCTGCCTTGGGAAAGCCCTGAGATTGGCGTCCACTTTATGTTAGAGACCCGTACTCAAGACTAGCGAAGTGCTTCAAATTCACTTCCCATCTGTCTATGCAAAAAGCTTGTTTCACATACGTTTATCCGGGGACCCTGCGGCATCTCCGTTCAGTGTGGCTGATGTTGATGCTACATTAAGCATCAGAAGAATGACGGAACTTATCTATCGGATCCCTATTAAAATTCACTTTTGTACTGTTGGATCAACAAACTTTACCAGAAGGAGAAGAAACCTGTGTGAAAAACAATGTCTTTTCACAATCTTCGCATACGCCTCGACTGATTGCATCCAGGAAGCAGTCAAGAATAATTTGTACTGCCAGTTAAATGGTCTCAAGAAAGTATGTTCGGCAGATAGCATAGCACTAGCAGGTTATCTGAATCCACAGACCGGGCGTATAAGCACAGATAGAAGTCTCTTGAGTGGCCAATGGGGACTCTGGTTTTAGGCCAGATAAGTTACCGTCTTCTGGAGCTTTGCGCAGACTAGTAAATTTCTGTTCAACACCAACTTTCGGTACAGTCGTCGCCGATGTACTAGTTGGCATCCTCCGTCTACATCTAAAGCCTAGGTTAAGACTGATCACATCACGGCCGTCTACCTCTGACATTGTTTTTCACAAGACTGGCTTATTATTGGAACAACTATCTAGACTTCAATCATGTTTTGATTTATGCCTGGTTAGGTTTTTGTGGCCCACGAACTCCTCATCCTAAACGGGTAGATGTAAGCGAATTGTCTGTGGCCTCTGGTGCAAACAAATTGGGAGTGGTAACTACTAGAAGCACTTTCAACTCATCCGAACCGCTGGCAGCAGATAGTCTGGTGCGAGTGAAACAATATGTAAAGTTGATAGAACACCGACCAGTAACATCCGGCAATGTCTTAGATGATGGACGGGGTTTTCCAAAAAACAATATTGCTGACCGATCGCCCCACTAATGTCGACTAAATTATGCTGTCTTATATGACCGGTGACTACTGATCCTCCTAACAATGAACTCCAACTTCTGAACCATAAATTATCAGACCCAAGACACTTGCCTGAGGCCGTTTTTGTTGGGGACGATAGATCCCCCAAAACTCATAGTTTGTAATTTTATCTTGTGGAGCTTGTATGCAGATGTATACGTGGGCATTTCTTACCACCCACGCACATAGTTGATTGACGAATTTATCGATTAATGTTTAAATATTTCAATGGCAGTCAATTGACGAACTATCGATTAAATGTTTAAAAGCTCCATGGCAATATCGATATATATATATATATATATATATATATATATATATACGTTATTAAAATTGTCTTGTAAAAAGGTTTGCTGGTTTTCTGGTTTTTGCAGAATATTCCCTCATTTCAAGTCTGGTCTTCTCTCTCTAGATAGCGGGGCTGGGACGCGTCATCAGCTAGCTCACTGGTCGTTGGTAATCGAACCTCGTTCTCGTTCGTAATTTAAGTGAACTCGTTAAGCTTCAAACCTAACAGTTTTTAAGACATTGGCAAACTTATAATCAGAGAACTAACCAGTTTATTTGAAAAGGTTCGGGAACTAGAGAGTCCTCTAACATCGTAAACTAGTGACCACTGTCTTCCATACTCAAAAAAGGTGCGCTTCATCTCTACAACAGCTAATAGGGGGGTTAGTTCTACTTCCGATCGCATCCACATTACTGGCTTCCATCATGCATCACAGATTGTACAAAACCCGTCGTAAGATTGACTCGTAAAGAACAGGCTGGTTTTCATTCTGGTCATATGTGTGTATCAATCATATCTTCACACTTCGCCAAATGTTAAGGTATCGTCTTACATATTTCAGGCGGACAATCGTTGAGTTTCATAGTATCACTGCTGTCTTCAATTCGTTGGACAGGGTTGTACTTTGGGATTGTGTGCTAAGAAAAGTTCTAGCTGGACAGCTTGTTAACATCTTAAAGGCTCTGTATAGAGTGAGGGCATATAATGAAAGTAGGTAATAGTATTATGGATCTGTTACCTGAAGGAAGTCTTTTCTATTTTTAGCATGTGTATGATATTCAAGCTAACTAGTTGACAATAAGTGTCTGTAGCTATTACACGAACATCGCACCTTTTAAATGGAAAATGTTGTGCAAAACTTGCAAAAGACAGTGTCTCTACTTACTCTTTGTGGCAATGCGTTAGAAGTAGTAGAAAGGTCCGTAAATCTGGTTTGTGGCATGACAAATGAAATCAGTCTGCATTTAGTGATAGCCAGAACGGTCCGTGCCAATGTGGGTCGTGTTTGGTTCCATTGTGGTGTTAGTTTGGCTGTAAAAGGTTGGGTTTTCAACGCTTTAGTGACAGCGATTTCACTCTAGCTGTGTGAAACCTGGTGTTTACGAGATGTTAAGCAAACTTTCTGTATTCGATCATTATTATGTTGAAGGATCACTTACATCCATTGGCAACACTATGTTAGTGATGTTAAGATTCGGCACAGTGGCTAATTCAGTCATTGTCACCAATTTGAAACACTGGCCACAGTTGATTGGAAATGTTTTAGGAGCGTCATCCCAACAGCTCCCACTTCGTGCAATTATTGCCAGGTGAGAGAAGAGGTTAGATGGTTAAATTATAATATGGAACTGTGATATGAAATTTGTACAAGACTAGCACCTTTCATTTTAACACGTCTCCTCCGTTGTGGTCCTAGAGATAGTGCAACTGCGGTTTTAAACGTTATCAGATATAACTCAGAATGTGAACCAATGGTGGCGATTCTGCTTTGGATTCCTTTTACGTTCTTCATAAAAGTAAGAGAAAATACCTCACTTAATTTAATTCTTTCTACTTGTTTTCCATATCATACTACTACCGTCCACATTTTATTGTTTGTTTTTGATTATACTCAGCCTCCTTTGTCTTCTATTTCTTTAAAATTTCATTTCCTCATTTGTGTAGCGTACACTTATTATGGTGTGCATTTGCACCAGTATTTATGTGTTTTAAATAAATAATTGCAGTTTTTATCGGTAACTACTTCACGTCAATATATTTATTTTATGAACTAATATAATTTAAGTTGCACTCTTATGATACTTCTGAAAACTGGCCTACATGTTGTGATAATTAGTTTCTTTGGCTTAACTAAATGACCAGACACTTGTGTCGTAACCGGGCTCGTATGATCGGGCCTTCTATCATGAAATTAGTTGTATTATTAATTTAGCTAGATTGGTTGTATAGGTCCGATGACCTTCCATTGACTAATGACTTAATAACCCTCTTTTGAACAATAACTCAATGACAGTAAGATAACTACCAAGATCAGTACTTAATTCCCATTGTTCCAGGGTGCAGCTTCCCCTGCTCTTCTGTCCAATAAACAGAATGGAACGAAAATACGACAGACAGATAAACTTGTTGTACAATTTATTTCGTAACTCAAAATTCATGTGACTATACAGAGTAGTTGCCTGACTGCATAGCAGCATAAAAAGGGAAACACAATGTACATATGGCTACAGCATAAGTGAAAGAGATCTAATTAATAGTTCTGTAGTAAAGTCACACTAACCCAAGGAAGGTACAACACAGTACAGTAGATTATAAACTCAACAAGAATGAGAATATAAGAAAACAATAATTCATATGTCTAATACCTATCTGATAGAAAATATGCACCAATTCTCCGTGAGACATTTCCAAAAGTTACAATATTCGCCCCATTATATCAGAACAACGGCCACTTCTGAAGTTTGGATATCAACTAGGGGTATGAGTAATTGTAACAAAAATTAACCTTGAACAGTATACTTTTTAAAAAGGAGGTCCTTCAAAGCTAAATTATTCTTTTACTAAATAAACCCATTATGTTGTTGGTGCAAAATTGTAAATATTCAGATGGCGTTTTCTTGACAGCATTTATTAAAGTTGCACGGTGATGCCCTGGTTCGACCAAGAGTAGGGAGAGTCCTTTCCCCCTCGAAATACTCTCACATGGCCACTGCCAGGAAGGTCCTGCTTACTTCATTCTCGTGACGGGAGCATTGTTTACGAAATTGAGAGGACGAAAAGCGAGTGTCCGTTGCTTTAACCGAGTTGATGGGCACTGAGAGTTGGAAAACCGTGATTTCAAACCAATGGTTCACATGGGCTCCATGATCCTGAGGGAACAAATGGCATATGAAACTATCGCTGCTCACCGGCTACCATGGGACTGCATCTGCTGACGTTACTCCGCTGCCTTGTGTACTAGACCTCCAGGTCAAAGGCTTCGGGTGTGGTCCCCTAAGTTTGTATTTCCTTCGAGACACTTCTTTTAACTATGACTGACTTTGAAAAGCCTATCTGGTTGGGCAACGTGAACAGAGTTTATGAGGTGTTCTGTATATTATCCATTGATTCAGTTTGAGTAGTGCTAGAAGGTGTGCTTCGAAAGATCTCGCTAGTATCTGATTATAGGTGTCTTAAAAGCACCCGTCATGTATTTTGGGACCACTGAGTGAGTACTGGCAAGGTTAGGTATGGGGTACTAGGTAAATACGGAAATCGATTGGTTTTGTAGTGCATCTTCACCAACTGAGGTGGTTGGGACTTGTTTACATATGCCCAACCACCTCCCACCTTGATAGGTATGTTTCTGGTGTAGGAATAGGTTGCAAGAAAGCTAGGGGCGGTCAAATCAAAACATTACTGGTCTATTAGGTCATCGACAAATGTAATGGACCGTGTTGGCAAGTGTTAACCACCTGATCTGGGTCTACGTGATCATTGTTACCAGTGATTAGGTACTCTGAATGATATGGATCAAAAATTAATTCAATTTGCAACGGTTCGTATTATTCCGTTGTTGATATTCCTGACTGGAATTTGATCAGTTTTAGTCATCCTGTACGGATCGCCTCGATATAACTAATATGACGCACGTTGTTAAAGAATAGATGGAATGGGATCCAGGACGCTCGTTTTGCCCTATTTGGGACTAATCAGTTGGGTGTACCTGGATCCCAGGTTTGATATTATATCCGTTGCATAAGTGGCTGTCTGGACTCAGTAGCTAAGTGGATAATGCGATGGCGTCTAAAGCAAGCGGTACTAGATCCAAATCTCGGAGTGAACATTAAATATGGGTTGCAGGTACACCTAACTGACGAGTCCCAAATGAGACGGGATAAGCGTCCTGGATTCCGCTGCTAGTCACATTCCATATATTCTATGGCTCAAAATCGTTTGCAATGGTGTAGGTGCATTCTTTCTTTGCATTTCTTTAGGTCCTGAGTTTATAAATTTACCATAATTTTCTATTTCACTGATTTGTATTTTATTTTGGATCGTATCTCCGATGCATAATGTTTTCTATAACCACTAATACTGTTATTTCCTCTACTACTCTGTGATTTGCCCTAACAGCTTCATACTGCAGTGCTAATTGTTTATGGCAACGTGGACGGATGTACATGTGTACCAGGTGCTATGTTGGGTTTGACTGATTATTACCATTATTTCAAGTTCCCAAAGCATCAAGGTCATCCATAATCCTATAAATACCTACCCTTGCAAATAATTTCGCGTTCGGAGTGCAGGTTCTCCTATGCTTCTCGATTTCTGTTTTGGTATCAAGATTGAGAGACTTCTGGGGACTAGGGAGTCGACGTCTAAACGTTCGGATACAAAGCTTATCTATCAGCCATTGCACATTAATTTATTTGTCTTAGTATCCATAACCTTGTTTTTTCATATAATCATGTTTGCCAGTCTGGACTCTATCATTTGACGGTTAATTTTTTATTCAAATGAATTTATTTTTTAGAGAGAGTAATTTACAACATTGTATTAAAAAACTTAATATAACAAAGATGTTTCAGACAACTCCAACATTATTGCATGACAGTATGAAACAATATGCCAATTCCAAACTTTGTATGTTATTATTCATTCGTGAATATCACCAACTTCTTCGCCGTTATAGTAAAACAAGCACAACTTCATCCACTATACCTACAATATTTACTTGTACTGGATGTGATCCATTTAGTGTGTATTGCAGCAAACAATTTTTAATGACTCTTTATCACTGGTCTATCAAAAATCCATTTCTTTTAGTACTACAAATAGTATACCTTTTATCAAGACCATTTGGTATGTCTTTGGTAGGTTGGAAACTATTTAACTTCTAATTACTGTTTACGATTTATTTAGGTAGCAGGAATAAATGCACATGTTAATTTATATGATTAATTAATATTACAAATTCTGTTCATGTTCATAGTTTAACATTTCCACTATTTTTGTTTAAATTTAAGTTGAATGACTGAAGTTTATGATACATCAAACTCCTTGTCCATACATATGAGTGAGTGTTACGTACAAAATAATTCAGCTAGTGTAAGACCTACAATCCAGATTAAATCCTTGTACTTTACCCTATGTACCTACAGTTAACATTTTTGTTAGCCCTCATTATAGACGGTATATGCAAAAATAAACACTTAAGTTTCAAGGGACAGAAAATACGTATGTGGTTTTACGGACCCTAATTTGGGTTTCTCTGTCTATTTTAAAATGTCAAAATATTGAATTGGAAATCCCTGTAGCAGATATCAACTTGATCCTGGGATAAAAAACTGACAAAGTGAAAATCATCGAAAGGTTATTTCTAGGGGATAAAATATCTGTAGGATAATTCTACGAGCCCAACCTTCCAATTTGATACCTGAACAAATGTGTTTTTCAAATCGAGTAGTGACACTACATACATTACAAGCCAATGTCATGTTATTGATGAGACCTCTAAGTCAACCTAGGATAGTAAATTTATTACACACTCAACTATTAATGTACAATCTGATTCTTGATATCCGAGCAACAAAAATAATTAAATAGGAAAAAACTTCTCAAGAAGCTTCGATTTCCGTATGTTTGTGTTTGAGAGATCCAAGACGTTTCTCGAAAAAGTCCGGAAGGGCCCTGAAAACTCTGAGGAAACTTTTATTCCATCAACGTGAGAGGTCATGTGTCACATTTCTTACCTATCTTATGTATATCCAGAAGCTCAGGGCCATATGAAATACTACAAATGCCCTCAATTTTCCATAAATAAGCTAACCTTGGAGTAAGACTTTTTTTCACAATTCACACCGTTTCTCTCATGTTCAAGTTGTTGTTTATATTTAACATCGGGTTATTAGAAGAGCTTGGAAAACCGATTTACTCGTTTAGTCAGAAGAAATATTAGTTTGAATAAGCAACACAGCTAGTGTGTATTTATGTATATTCATAATCATTTAGCATAAATGAGGGTATAGACCTTGGTAAATGAATGGCTTACCTATTGTACATCATCGATGCTATAAATCGACTGGCCATATATTGACATGTGTATTTCCCTACATCTTATCCAGCTTTTTCGTTCTGTCACCATTTATTGTAATAATTGTAGAGCATAAACACAAAGCCCTGTGGAACCAGTAGTGCAGAAAAATCTAACAAAAAATATTTTGTTCTTCCATCTTTGTGTATACTTTCGTTAGGATCAAGTGATTGCTAATCCTGTACTTTGTACTGTTCACAGAGTTTCAACTTTGCAACAACCGATGACTGGTCATTCTAAACTGATCCCGTATTTTGATAAATGTCGACCTTCCACTACTTTGTTAGATGACCTACCAGTTTTTGAATTGGATTTTTTATCTAAAACTATATTTGCCGATACCATGAGTATTTTTTGTAAATATGAATAATAAGAATGTAAATACATAAAATCAAGACGACAACTTTTCTCATGTTCATGTGTTCGAAATGTCTTGAATGTTGTGAGGCTATTATTCAATGTACCTCAACAACTTACGTTTGAAAGTCACTTGATTTTTATTGTCGAATTCGTTTTTCATTTCTTAAATTAAAACATGCATCGTTTAGTTTATCATATGTATTGATCTTGAACTTAAAAATAACCTTTATTACTATAAACAATGAATGTTTGGGATAGTAATAAACCCAAGATACTACCGATTTATGGTGTACATGCACAAAAATGCCTAGAAAAATTGATGCTATGCAAAATGACAAGTAATTTGATCAAACAAATGTTTTGACCCTATCATTTGATGTAACTAACGAGTATAAGTCATCGCGAGGTTAGTTTTAATCACCAGTAGCACAGTTTGACTCACTATTCCAAATATATCAACCTAACCACAAAAAATTTGCTCCGAATCCCATTAAAATGACACAAAACACCTGCCCAGTTCGCCTTAGTACTGTTGTTTTCCAGCCGATATCGTCTATCAATTAGAAATTGCATTCGAGTTTTACAAGTCAGCGTTCTCTACTTTTGAAGTATTAAGGTCGTTTTCTCCCCAACATGTCACTCCTACTTTGTGTATTCAAACCGATGACATTCCAATGTAGTAAGAACATTGTTAGCATTAAATTGCCCATGGTTGATATTGACTCCCTAAATGTCTACAGCTAAATTTATTAAGTTAACTGGTATATTTCTCGACCATATAGGTACGGTATTTTGATCTAAACGAGATAGTGAGTATGCGAATAAACCATCTTGTTGGTATTCCTAAATCAACCATCTATTCCAAATATTTATAGCAGAAACATTAGCTTTCCTATCGGTTGGATTTCTCAGTGACTGCTTAACTGGTTTATTTTCTATGATATTCCAGGAGGTACTGTTTTTTTTAATACTTTCATATTCTGTCCAGTATTTTTTTGAATGAATACAAAATCAAATATCAGGTTGTACTATTCTCGATTTTATACATAAGGGATTTTGTTGAAGGGTCCTTTATTAGCCGTATGTTCGGACTCCTGACCGTTGTTGCTACCTTGACGTGGTGGTCGGGCTTGCCTGTCGTGATGAAGCAACTGAGCTATACTAGCTGGAACAACCGTTCCTCAAGGTCCTACCATGCCAGGCAGGTCGGTTGAAGAGCGGTAAGACTAAAAGCAACAAAACCTAGGTCCGAAGGCGAAGTCGTACTGCTGACTGTACAGAGGTGTGACAGCAGTAAGGTGTTTCCTTCAGACAACCAGCATAACAGCGATGCTGCCTTCCCAAAAGGAGGGGAGGGTTTAGAAAAGGTCGACGCTAAAAATGCACACCTCGCCTTATCCCACGGATATCCGTCTCCGGCGGTAAGGTCTCAACAAGTACGGAGCTGACACAAAAATTACTCATAAAAAGGTCGTGTGTGACCGACCTCAAGCAGCTGTCCCTTGGGCACTGCGGTCACGCTCTCAGGTCACTATGACCACCTCTAATCCAATTTCCTTTTCAGGTACCTCCAGCAGAACCCTTCCACAGTGTGGGCAACCGGGAAGTGATAACCGCCCTCATACCTCTAACAGCACTCAAGACCACTGTATTCATAATCAACCTACCTCTTCAATTCCTATCATTCCTCTTACATCGACTTTCAAATCTAAATTTCCTCTTTCGGCTTCCTCCTCAAGTGTCACCACAGCCAACTATTCTAGTGCGCAAAACACTGTCCCAGGTCTACTGAAACCTCGCTCCAAACTACACATTGGAGCCTTCAACGTACGCACACTATGCCAAATCTGTCAGCAGGCTTCCTTGGCTAAAACCTTAGAATCTCGTACCATTGATGTATGCTGTGTCTCCGAAACACGCATACAGGATCCTAGTGTGGTCATTCACTTGACCTCACCTCGGCAAAACGGAGAGCCGACGAGATACACCCTCCGTGTATCTGGCGACCCGATGGCTAGTTCTCGTGGACTTGCAGGTGTAGGCATAGCACTAAGCATGAGGGCGGAACAAGCGCTATTCCCAGACAGTATGAATGGAACATTGAAGTAGGTCCCCCAACTCTAGCTGAAGTTCAAAAGGCTATAGCTAATCTGAAACGAGGAAGGTCAGCTGGTCCAGACGGATTGGCCCCAGAGGTCTTTAAGGATGGTGGTCTAGTTTTAGCGATTAGGTTGACTAATATTTTAGCTAAAATCTGGGAGTTAGACGTTATCCCATCTAACTGGTCACAATTACTTATCGTCCCAATATTTAAGAAAGGGTCAAAATCATCCTGTGACAACCACAGAGAGATTAGTTTAACTAATATAATATCTAAAATACTAGCTTCGATAATTTTCGGACGCCTAACTAAGACTCGTGAGCTGCAAACACGTGAAAATCAGGCTGGCTTCAGACCTGGTCGTGGCTGCTTCGACCACATATTCACCATTCGTCAGGTTCTAGAACACAGGCATACTTATCGGCGTCCGACAATAGTGGTCTTCCTTGATTTAAAAGCAGCGTTTGACTCTGTTGACCGAGAGGTTCTGTGGCGGTGTCTGTCATTGAAAGGCCTACCTCAGAAGTACATAAACCATGTGAAAGCTCTTTACTCGAACACTACTAGTCGAGTGAGAGCTTATGGCGAACTGTCATCTGCTTTCGCAACCTCAAGTGGCGTCCGCCAAGGCTGTCCACTTTCTCCATTTTTGTTTAACTTCATCATAGACCTACTGATGGAAATAACGTTCTTGTCAACTAAATTCTCGGGCATTGATTTCCTACCAGAAGGTCCACTTATCGACTTAGAATACGCAGATGAAATAGTCCTGTTTGGTGAAGACGCTGATGAAATGCAGAGTCTTTTGGTAGAATTAAGCAACAATCCCAGAATGTTTGGAATGCGTTTCTCTCCCTCTAAATGCACGTTGTTGCTTCATGACTGGTCCGCGTCAACATCGGGAGTGAAGAAGTCGAACGCGTTGACGACTTCATTTATCTTGAACGTCTGATCAGCCCTAATGGGTTGGTGTCTGACGAAATCTCAACATGGATTCGAAAAGCTCATTTGGCTTTTGCCAACTTATGTCATCTATGGCGAAGGCGAGATATCCGTTTATCAATAAAAGGACGAGTATACTGCGCGGCAGTTCGTTCTGTTTTACTTTACGGCTGCGAGACGTGGCAATTAAGAGTAGAAGATACTCGTAAGCTACTAGTATTTGACCACAGATGCCTTAGTAATATTGCTCGCATCTGCTGGGATCACTGGGTAAGTAATGGTGAGGTTAGACACAGTGTATTATGGAACGAGGGTAAGTCAGTTGATGAGGTTGTGAATCTTCATCGACTGAGATGGTTGGGCCATGTGTTGCTTATGCCTGAACACTGATTACCACTACGTGCAATGCTAACCGATGTTGGGGATAATTGAAAGAAATTTAGGGGTGGCCAAACCAAAACATGGCATCAGTGCTTGAAGTCACTAACTTCTGGTCTGAGCCATGTTGGTAGATGCAGACTACTTGGTTGGGGTCCGCGTGACTATCGTAACCAATGGTTGGAAATTTGGTGACATGGCTCAGAATCTATCACGATGGTGTCGGCGTATACACTCTCTGTCTTCCCTTAAACTATGAGGTTAAAATTGCTTTATATCTTTCCTTCTACCAACTAAATCTTTCTTCCTGTAGTGTATCTTTATATGCAATCTTTCGTTTATATATTACCACCATTGACTTAACTACTATGAATTTGGTGTTCATCTTGTTGTGCTAATGCGGTATGGCAACTTGGACCGATGCATATACGTGCCTGGTCCTACGTTGCAGCTGACTGACTGATTGATGTTCGGACTAAAGTGACGCAAACGAGATTGTTGCGTAGAAACATATGCTAGTTGGTAACTCTTGGTTTCGAGTCCCCTAACTTGTATCTACTGACCATAAAAACCTTCACTAAATTCTTAAATTTCGGTAAGTCATTGGTTTTGTTTAAAGTTATGGTCTCAGGAATCGCATTTTCTGCGTATTTTATTCTATCTCGGCTTATAAATTCAGATCCTAGAATCAATATATTTAGTCCACAAACGACTTCCGATTGTTATTGATAATTGCATTGTGCGCTTTATTCTGATTGCTAAGTAATATTTTCGTGGTTTTATTTCATACTCAAATAGTATACCATTCGTCACTAGTAAAACCTGTTTGAACAGATCTAGAAATTGCAGGTGCGCACATTAGGTTCAATACAACAACAATTCATTCATTCATTTTAACACATAAGTATAGGTACAGGGAGGCACCAAATACATATGCGCCACACGAATCTCAATTGATTTGTGTGAGGGCTGTGATACTGCCCGGGTGCCCAAACCGAAGCAGGTGGTTTTCTTAGGGGGCCACACCCCGAGCCTTCGACCTGAACGGCTGACCCATCAGGCAGTGGAGCATCGTGAGGAGATGCAGTCCCATGGTAGCCGGTGACCAACGATTGGTTCATACGCCATTTGTTCCTTCAGGATACTGGAGCCCATGTGCACCATTGATTTGAGATCCGGTTATAGCGCCGGACGTTCGCTTTTCATCCTCTCATTTTTGTAAACAACACCCCCGCCACGAGAAGGCAGTGAGTAGGACTTCCCTGGCAGAGGCTATATACGCATGGCCATGTGAGAGCGTTTCGAGAGGGAGAGCGGACTCTCCCCACTCTCGGCCGTACAAGGGCATTTGGGGGCACAACAACAATTACTACTTATCATAGCTGGTGTCACGATTGAGGACACTAATTTAAGTGAGAAAGTGTTTTTGGATAAGATGGAACGAAATTTGGTTAGAATGACGTACAACTTGTTACAAATACCCATACCCTAGTGTTCGAAATACCCGTAACAATACATTTGAATAAAACCAATAATCGAGGCGCATGCTGTTATTTGTTTAAAAGCCAAATTCAATATTCGCTTTACATAGCTTGTCACAGTATTAAAAGTAGGATTCCAATTTGTTCGATCAGTTCATAACGAAATCGTTTTAGAAAAACAAATCGCACAAATATACTCAATTTTACCGAATCAAGGAGGAAGTTCTAAGTATCACGCTCTATTTGCTCTATTAAAGAAGTGGTCATTAAGTAGTTAAACTGAGTTGTTACCGTATGCTACTACAATCTTATAACGTTAATACCGACTGAATTCCGTACTTATGTTTGGAAAATGTTATTTCGAAATGATTACAGAGGCTCTAAGAGCCTAGTGTTTCAGTCACAATAGATGGTTGTTGTCAGATAAATGATTTTAAAAATACTTCTACAGAAAACTGACCGGACAAATTAATGTAGATCATCTAAACACTCCTTCCCGGCATTTTGTAGCTGAAAATGTAACCAGCTTATTGTGTTTCAACCTATAGCTAATAAAGACATCTATTTACAGTGTGATTCAACCTGGAATTCTACTATTGATAATGTTGATAAAATTCTACATATCCTATCGGTTGCTCGGTCAGTGATTCTAGTCTATTAGGAACCAAACAAATATAACACTTGTGATCATGGAATCAGTAATACTTTCATTTGCTATCATTTTGCATCAATTTTGTGATTATCATTAGCTAGCCTATTGTCTACCCGATCTTTACAGTACAAAAGTGCTTCATTTTACCAGCTGAGTATGTCTAAAAACTCCGTTATTAGTGAATCGCGTACATAAGGACTAATACGATCTTGAGCATAAATATAGCTGACAGATTATCGACTGCTCTTTCGTACAGTTTGTATCATTTAGTCACTATCTGACTGTTTTCTATACTGTTTAGTAATCATAAAGCCAGCACAACTTTTGATGCCATGCAGAGTTTAGGCTTGTGAATGTCGATGCTTTCCTGATTATTTTGACCGGTCGAGTTGTAACAAGAGTAATCCTGCTACATGAGTGGGATCCGTCTCAAGATCTGGGATTCGGAATTCGAGTAGAATCATAAATAGTAGTAGTATGTTACTGGTTTATACAACTCAGAAACTGAGCAGTGTAGGTCATTAGACGTTGCGTTTAGGTGACTGACTAGCTACTCGGGATAAAAGACCAAATGACGTAAGACGAAAAGCGATTCGCCTGAACAGTCAATAAGATGGCTATCTATTACGCTTCCTAAAACGCTTGGAAACCGTCGCATATGGTGTAAGTTGTTTCTCTAGTGAACAAATGATGGCACTGCAAGTATGCAGAAAGTTGGTGTCCTTATATATGGTACATGTCTTGCATGCGGAAACCAAAGTACTTTATTGTCATCAGAGACATAAATATCTACCAACTGTTACCAGAAAACGTCACGATGTAGCTGGAGTGTTGGGATATAAACACAAAACAATAAAGCGTCGGTCTGAACCTTGGAAAAACTATTGTGTAAATTTACGTGCGAATATATGATTCACAGATGCCTGTGGAATCCGACCTTTCAGCTAAAAACGTTCATCACCCGTCTTTCTTCGATCTTACTTCATGTGCAGTGAAGGCAAGATAGATTTGTAACTTTAGGAAAACTGATATATACATACTATAGCAGAAAAAAATTACAGCCTCTAAAATCGAGTATTAGTTCACGTCTTTTCAATAATTAACTTGCATGATTAGTTGGGTAGTATTGATGCTAACTGGGATTTCTGTGAATTTGATAGATAATCTGGAAAAACGATCTGAAATTCAACTATCATATCACCAAGGCGACTAGGTTCCTTTAAAAAGGGAAGACCTTGATGTGGAATACGTCTAGTTGTCCCAGGTTTGATGATTTCAGTGAGTTGGATGTTTATTTGTCCTTCATCGATTGTTGGTATTGAGATAGTACCCCCACAAAGAGCTTGTTTTAGGCTAATTTTAGCCACGTAACGTACATCACTACCTTCACGCTTGAAATGTTTGTGTGTTCGATCTTTAACAACGAAAACAACGTCGGCAGGAACATTGCCTTTAATGCTCTCATCACCCTCCCGAGGGAACGTGATTTTTGTACCAGCTTTCCAACCTTTTTTAACTTCGATTTCAACCGTCTTTTCTTCCTGACGAGTGGTTTGTCTGTCCGGATTCAAACGAGCTCTCGTAATACGAATTTTCTTAGTCGTCCCATGAAGAACATCTTGAAGTGAAACTGACAAATCATGATAGATTGGAGGATCCTGTTGAGGTTTTCGACCACCTGTCGTGCTGACATTCCTAGTTTCAAAGAAACCCTAATGGAAAGACGTACGTAAAATTGAAGCAATAGAATTTACAAGTCACTTAAAAATGTATGAGGACTTATAGATATGAGAAAAAATTTTAACACTCCTTGAGTCAAGGTTTTTCGGTCTGAACTCCAACTACTGGGTCGCGGGTGCATGAGACTGTCAAGTTTTTATCGTGAGTATCGCCATTTATTTGGTGAGCAACAACACCAAACATTTCCTCAGTTTATTCAATTTCGATATACACCCAGCTGAGATCATCAAACCATCATCATTGTTTCATGAAAAAAATCAAACTACATTCTAGCGTTTTAACAACAAACCTAGTAGAAAGTAGAGCACTGTCCCAAATAACGACAATCGCTTTATCCAGTCCTGTTTGAGTCCACTAAGAATTTTTAGTGGCCCTTAATCTGACTCCAATCGGATCCTGTTATGATCGTATGAATGATTGCTGCTGAAATATACATGTCGCCAATCCTCGTGCATAATCATAGACTTAAGTCGCGTCAGTGAATAAAGCAATTAAATGTCAAGTACGAGAATGAGGTTTGAATACGTTTATTTCGTACACTCATTGACCTGGACAGACAATCAGAGGAACGAAGCGAAGAGGAAAGAGAGAAGTAAAACGGGTTGATGCGCGGTGGAGAAGGTAAATGAGCCAACTCGATTTAATCAAGAGTTAATCGACATTTATAGTCAAACAAAAATGTTACAGACCTGTAATGAGTAGGATAAGCAATGCGCATACATATGGTAACATAAAAACAGTCAAGGTTGATAAGTGAATAATTAACACGATCAAAATGTAACTCAAGAAGAATGAAAAATTGGCTTGTCCTGAAGCTAGAATAAGCTATGTGGACTTGACATAGCCAACTGACACTACAGACCTTCTCTAGTGGTGATCCTTGACCTTAAGACACCACACAACTCCGCTGACCGAGCGGTTTGGTGACAGCGCTTGGCACTAAAAGGAGCATCAAATAAATATATAAGCTTTGTAAAGACTCTCTATTCAAACACCATTAGTATAGTCGGAGCTTGTGGCGAATTGTCATCAGAATTGGTAATATTAAGTGGTATTCGTTGGGGTTGTCGACTGTCTCGATTCTCGTTTAATTTCATCATATACGTGCTCCCGCAAGTAACACTTTCTTCACTAAACCTTTCACTTGATCTACCATGAGATTCGTTTATCGACTTGGAATAGACACCTGATAGTTCTGTTTTGTAAAAATGCTGGTCAAGTTCGGATTCATCTGATCACTTCGAACAATAAAGCAAGCAAGTTTACGATGTCGCCCCAAGACTGGTCTACATCAACGCCCAAACTAATAAAGGGAGTGAAGTAGTTAAGTGTGTTGACCATTTCACTTACCTTGGAAGTATAATCAGCCCAAGAAAGTTGGTATTTGACGAAACCTCAGCACGGATTCAGAAAGCCTATGTTAATATGTGTTACTTGTGACGTAGATAAAATGCCCCCAGACGCCCTAGTACGACCGAGGGTGGGGAGAGTCCGCTCCTCTTCGAAACAAGGTTTTGACTTTTGTCAATCAACCTGCTTCGGTTTGGGCATTCGGGCAGTATCACAGCCCTGACACAAACCAAATGAGACTTATGTGGCGTATATGTATCTGGTGCAACCTTGTACCAATGTCTGTGTTCAAATAAATAAAATAATAAAATTTGTCAATCAAGCTGGTAATCTCATTTCATTGTGCCAACATGGTTAGGCAACACAGGCTGACGCATATTTTCGCCAGACTATGTTGGTGACGTCTCACTAGGGAATTTTGTCGGCTTGAAAACACGGGACGAAGCTTAGTAGTCACACACTAAACCACTAGAGATTACTTATCGTTAGTTTATAACAAACGTGACAAGTCACCATCGCTACTCTGAACAGTGCGTTCAAAGATAAATCTCAGATCGATCGTTTCGAATGGTCCATACGAAAGGAGCGCCCATTATGACACTTTTCTGAACTTATTGTGCTCAAAACTGTAAATGAGGCTGTTGGTCGCGTATGAGCATCAAACCATCGACCATAACGATAAAAACGCTTACCGAAAAGTATACCGTTAACGTGATTAGCATTGGTTAGAAATTTCACGGACTTCAGGTCTTATTTTTATATAGCAGATAATCTCGTGGATTCTTTAGTCACTTGTGGATAATCGCCAGATCTTTAAATGCATCCAGTCAACACAAATTATAGGCGAATTCTAACAGATCTGTGTCAATGCGTATACAAGCAATTCTTTATCGTGTTAAATATCCTACAATGGTAGCAAATAAATTAGACACCTCGATGATTGATAAAAACTCGTAAGCCTGGTGTACGAATGCTTTGAAACAAACAAGTTAAAACCCAAATAACAGAACAAAATTAAGTCCAATGAGACTGGATGGATCGTTCAGTTTCCTCAACTACATGTGACTTTACTTAGCTGTCCAACACAAAACAATGAGAATGGGAAAAGATAAAAAAAAGGTAAGGAGCGTAAATGCAGACCGTCAATTATTCCGTGACTTGAATACTATATTACGGATTATGGCAACAAAATCGAGTCTTATGGCTTCGTTAATGAACAGCGAGCACAGTCTAAGGTTACTTGAGGGGTGTCTACTTTGCGTAGATAAAAGCTCAGACTGGCCTTAAAAATATGGATTTTTATCTGTAACCCTAAGATGTTTATTTCATTAACAATCTGAGAAATGCGAAGTTGTAAAAACCATGAACTTTACAAAAGTTTATACAATAAAAACTAACGAAAATAAACAACCTTAGTAGCTAAATATCAATGCAACTTACTCCAAAAGGTGTGCTACCAAAGAAATCATCGACGTTCATAGGCTCTCCTACGGTACTACGCCTGCCTCCTGATGTAAAAAACCCCGAGAAAGGGTCATCCGTACCAAAGAACATTCTAAATGTTTCTCGTGGGTCACCATGGAATGTATAAGTGTAGCCTTGTCCACCTTCGCTCGACGTGGGTCCACCCTTCAGTCCCTCCTCACCATATTTGTCATATATTTCCTTCTTCTTGGGATCAGATAAAACCTAATACGTGGAACTCGTTGGAAGAAAATCTTACGTCGTACGCTTCCGCAATCTCTTTGAACTTCTCCTCTGCGTTCGGAGACTTGTTCTTATCAGGATGATATTTAAGCGCTTGCTTTCTATAAGCTTTCTTAATTTCATCGTCATTTGCACCTTTAGATATACCGAGAATCTTATAATAGTCCTTCCCCATCGTCGATGATTCGCGAAGTTTCTAAATTCCCAGTGACCTACGTAAAAGTTAATATAAACAATTCAACCTCCGAACACTGAATGATAGATTAGTTTATTTGCTTTGAGTCACTTATCAGTAAATATCGAAAAGCTTTCAGTGAAGTCCACCAATCTTTTTTAATCTTTGTCGACTCAGGAGTTTAGTTACTTGCATAATAATAATTGACGCACATCATATTCTATCGTATACTCCTGTTTATTTGGAGCAAAACTGATGACAAATTTTTTCAGGAAACATTTTTGCTTATTTCGTCTTGGTATTAAACTACATCCTTACATGAAGAAATGAGAATATTCCCTTATTTAAAATATCATCATGCGTAGCTAATTTGTAGCGGTAAGTAAACTACAGAAATAAATAGTTCTGTAAGTCGTCGACACCGGTGATGACCTCACTAGTTTTACTGGATGTAATCCTTCTGAAGGTACTCGTTCATGCATTCGTACCAGGTTGACATTGATTACGTCATTCCATGCATCCCTTGCAACAACTGGTCCTATCAGATCCAACACTGATCTTCACAAAGAATACCTACCAATTATATCTTCAAACTCCTTTATTCCTGTCTCATTGTTTGATTGAGTTCGAGATCCTTTGGTTATAAGGGCGTTATGGACACAAGAGTTTTCAATCCCTGAATATCAGTGACATCTTCAAACGCCTAATGTTCTAGGTAGAAATTTTCTAGCTTTGCATTTCGATGAGAAAGGTGGATTGTGTTAGCGACTCGGTCGTTTTTCTCCTACTTTTAGTCAGTGTTGTTTCATGCTATCATCTCAAGAATGAATAAGTGAACAAGCATTCACTCCTCAATTATCCACTGTCTGAATTTGATAATTAAAGGCGTTAACACGGGAGTTGTGAATTTACATATTTTAAGTATGAGTCCGTCTGTCTCAGTACGATAGTGTTCCTGAAACCAGATGCTGTAGCCTTTCCAGACATCCATAGGATTAATGGTACTCAAAAGTATAAGATTAGACTGAAAAGGGATGGAATGAAGACAAGAATTAGCAGACGAATAAGGCGGAGAGGAAATTAAATGCAAATACGAAAGCTAAAAAATAACTGTAAGATCCATTTTGAATGTTTTGTGTGTGAAAATCCCTCCATGTATACACTTGCAGTTTGTTCATATTGATTCCTTCAGTTGTACATTTTGTTAGTATTTTTGATCCCATTAAAGTTAGCATCATTTGTAGTTTATTGTAGTTTTTATTTGTCTCACGCCTTCACTAAGTTTCCATGTTTCTTCCTGAACTGCATTTATGTTTCTTTTACTTGATACTTACTCTTGATGGCAGCCATATTGGTCCGTTTCCCCTTTTGATTGTGTTGCTTGTATCGACTGGAATTGTGTATTTTTGATTGTGAATTAAATCACTCTTTCAGAATTGAAAACACTCTGTGTTATAAAGCAACCAAATATTATCTTTTCAACCAATCTGTGTGTGATCTATCCAGACGGGATAAAATAACATTTATTTGTTGTGATTGGTAATTTTCTCTCATCCCTTATCGATTTCCTTATTTGTTGTAATTTAGATTTGATTAATTGAACAATTATTGGTTGGATAGCTGGGTGGTCATTTTTATTTAGGTAACAATGTATATTTAAATTTATGATGAATATTAGAACCGTCATTTTACCCGATCTCTTTGTTTTGGTTTCAAACGGGCAAGGGCACGTATCTAAGCCACCTAGACAGCTGTTTTCAGTCCAAACCTTAGTTTGAATCTTACAACAACTGGAGATAATATGACTCAAAACACGGCAGAATAAGTTAATATTATGAAAATACGATTTACTGTAAGACTTGGTGGGAGTAAAAACATCATGCTCCGAATATGTGTATGTATGTGCAACTGCAATTACATGCGAAAACGATGGTCGATGTTTAAATATTTAGTAGCCCAATTTCATTTTTAAACATCTAGTTGGGAGATGTGTGGTTATAGACTTGTGGACTGTTTCAATATTAATGCATTTGTAGTAGCGTTGGGCCCTACCACGAGACAATGTGAGAAATGGACATTAAACATTTAACGCGGAGAAACACAGAAGAATGGAGAAGGCGGGGAGAATGAATTGAATTAATACGAGTTGGTCAGATGGCATGGCTCAGCCTTGCAGGCGTGGTCCCAGCTGAATGTTATCTTGTATCTTTTATTCATATTAAATATATTCTATCTCTAGCCTAAGCTTGTTCTCTCTCACGTATTGGTAATTGTTACAATGCAATGAATTGGTGTAGACGATGATGTAACTTTCACGTAAGATCTTATAGATTAGGCAGTCACATCATGATAAATCTACAATTTTAGGATTAGGTCTATTATTAGAGCAGTGCTAATATCATAGTAGACCATAATTCTACACATTTACCTCCGCCACTGTAATAATCGACCGAGTCACAAGACTGTAGATTTGTCATGATGCGACTACCTGATCTATACGATCTTATATAGTAGTTCTATTATTCTCTATACTGACGATCGTGACCATCAGAAATATGATATTTAGTACTTTTGGAATAGATGTTTAGGTTGGAGATGGGGTAATATATATGATGCAAAAAGGCAAGAGGTTATATAGAGTGACCATCTTTGCATAGCTCTGTCATACCACTTCGATCAATTATCCCCGCGAGCACCACTGCTGAACTTCTCTCCGAGATAAATTTTGTATTTGAATTCTCTCATTTATCTCGTATTCAACTTCGAGGATCGTGTGGTTAGAGCCATTAACACTACAGGGTCGAATAGACTGGAAGATCACTTGGGCATTATGAACTTGTGGTGTGAAAGGGTGAGACCATCTAAACGTTATTTATTTCATGAGTGATTATTTGGGGACTACCTGATATAGGCCCACTGATGGGCGCCAAACAAAATTACTCTACTGAGGTGACCTGAATGATATTGTATTTATCGCGCACATTGAAATGATTTTATCCTCTGTTGTCTTTTGATTGGTTACTGAAGTTGATCTTCATAAGGTTTATTCATTGATCCAGTTACTCACCTTATTTCACATCTCTGAACGTGTTTCAAGAGATTCGTATATATTCAAGGAAAACAAGAAAAATCTGTAGGTTTTTGTATGACCTTGGTACCAATTGATCGTTGGTATATTCGTGTAAATTACGTTTTAAACTTTGCTTGTTCAAAATCCCTACCCTGATTTTTCGGCTTTACTCTTGCCTTGCAGTTATTTCTGCTGTACCAGATTTCATGAAACCTTAACACTAATCGCTTACAGTGAGCTTTTTTCTATGATTGTGGTGGTGAATAAAATTTGTTAGATCTACGATTACATTAAATGAATTCACATGGTCTTCGTATTATTCAGCTTGGGGTCAAAAACCTGGCAAGTTTTCATATTTCAGTCATCCCAGAATCTGGACTTTGGGTATAAGGCAAGATCTCGGTAAGCATGGTTGATAACAAGCCAGATATTTCAAACTTTCATTTCATCTGATGAAGCGAGTAAAATCGTGGTTAACGTCACAACCCTATCCAAGATAAAAGTTCCGGTTTTTTTACTATGCATAATCGATGAGTCACGAAACATTTACCGGTATAATGTAGGTAATAATCTGCCCATAATGGTTGACAGACCCTGTTTCACTAATCCTGGGAAGGAACTACAAAATATGAGTACACATAGATGAGTTGATTCATGTGATGTGATTACTCAGCCAACCACAGTCTCATATGGAGCTCATCGTATGACGAATTCGTTTAGAGATCCAGGACAGAGTGCGTCAGCAAATTAAAGCTTAAGGTACAGCGTCATCGTGTTCTGGTTTCTAAAGTCATAATGAATAAAGGTACATGTTTGTTTGGAATTAGTTGTTCCGAATACTATTATCTATTTAAAAATAATAAAAGTATGCTCATCAGTTAACTGTATTATTCGCGATCACCAGAGTAATTTACCCGGAATCACGAAAAGCAAATAACATTTCAAAGGTGCTATAAGTGGGAAAAACGTGCCGAAATAAACACGGTATATGTGCCAAATATACTGTGCGACAGTGAGAAAATCTACATATAGAAAGAAAAATTGTTCGAGATTTTTAAAAAAGATGTACACATGTACAATTATACTAGAAACTGATTTCTTTTCAAGTAAAATGCATATGTAAGTATTTAAAGAGATCACTTTCTTGGCTTATTGATTTTTGATCCTTAGGAGGTTGGAAATACAACTCAGTAAAAGAGATATGACAGAAACTCCTATATGTAGTAGTTATTTAAGTGTGTTAGTGACTTCACGATCGTTCCAAAGTGCGTCGTTCAGATTGATTACCGGAAACCAGCTAATTTTCCTCGTGATCTTTAGTTGTCAAGGGTTCCATCGCAGTCTCAAGACCTGTTTTGTTCGATCTGTTGTTATTGGTCCTAACTATACGATAATCAAAGCCGGATATGAAATAACTGGGAAAATAAATATTCAACATTTTACATGGAGGGAAGGCCAACAGTGGTGAACGCGGGAATATTTATTCAATCAGGTTTTATGGTTCAGCCTTGAAGACGTGATTGTCCTGTATAACATGTCTTCACTAACATTAAGTACGTTGTTCCATCTTTAGCCTAAATGTGTTCTTTACAAACGCCAGACATTATATCGCGGATTGTTACGATATGACGAGTCAGAATATACAATGATATGAATTTCACGTAACATCTCATAGATTCGGTTTTCACATCATGACGTATCTACAACTTTAGGATTAGGTCTATTATTATAGTAGTACTGTGGTGTGTGCTACTGACGTCGACAGACATAAGTAGTATGAATATCAATCGAAAGCGGGATGTCTAGCGGAAGAAGGTTAAGAAGATCAAAGAGAATAGAAGGAGAACAAAGAATGAATGTTGTGGAAACGAAAGAACACTGAAGTCTGAGACGATTGACTGATATTTCTAAGTTTGAAAATCCCCATAGAATATTCAAAAATGAAGAATATTCGAGCGAACAATTGTTTTCAATAACTTCATCATCAG